TTCTTCTAGAGGCGATCTCAATGGATAATGAATAGTTATATTATTTAATTTAAGAATTATAATATATATTTAGTTTAGTTTCAACCATGTAATAAGGTAAGATAATAAAAATAAAAACCTGATGCTCTATCTTTTGCTGGTACTCTTTTATTTCTTCTTGATACACACCTTGCTGCTGTAAAAGAGCTTGCCCAATTTCTGAAAATAGAATAATGTCGGGAATTATTATACTAAAGACTTTTATCTAAAATTTTAACGATATGCTATTATCCATTTTTAGCATCAAACGATCAAACATATATATCAATAATAGAACTTAGAAGTTAAATCAATATCGATTTTACTCACCAGCAGCTAATCTTAGGTGGTCTTCCATGGATTTTAAACTTCTTAAAAATGCAGCAAGGTTTGGACAATTCTCGTTACCACAACAGCATTGAAGGTTCACGGGAGACCTATTGGTAGGTGAGGGAGAAAAGGTCTCCCACAATTGAGTACTAGTTTGAAGGTCAACACGAGGAATACTGTTATTAGGGGATCGCGACGGAGTGGCAGTTGAATTTTCATCGTCACTCCAATTGTCCTTTGTTTGCTGCTCTTGTTGAGTAGATTCAAGCCGACGAGACAGATCGGTTGGATTTGGTACTTTGCCAGAAGTTGAACCTTCAGGACTATGGTAGTCCATTTTTTTATTGAATTTCCAAGTTCAAAAAAAAAGATTGGGTTTATTTAAAGAAATGCTTAAAGTAAGTTATGTTGCGTTGGGTGGTTGGGTTTGCGGTAGACAGAGACACGTTGGATGTCGGTGAATCTATCACCCCAACGCTAAAAAAAGAAAAAAAAACTATTTCCTATCCTTCTCAATAATTAGCCTCGTTTTTTTAGATGAATACGTAAATTTAAACTAAATGCTAATATTGAGTACTTTTGAGTGTATTCAGTTGCCAGATTTGCTTGTGTAACCTAAGAAATGGCGCAAACATTGTCAAAAAATTGAATTGTACATGTAAACTGAAGGCCTTGTAACCCTGATTTCGCATGGGTTTGGTCATATCTTTTAAACAATGCGGTCATCAGCTTCAAAGCTAAATTGTCAATTTGCCGATCATCTCTCGATTTCCTGCACATATACAGTGCGTTCGTTTGCTATCGCTAGAATTATCTACTTGAAAAGTTATCATTATTCCTACGAGTTACAATTCTCGCAGAATTTAAACAAATTTGATTAATTATAAAGTTCAATGGACGTGCTCGGCCACTCCAGGCTGCCATGCTTAAGCCCTAAAAATACTAAAGCATGCAGGGAATTGACAATGTACAGCTATTTTAATCATAATTTTGGAAATGATCCATTCATTTTGATTATTAAAGTTTTTTTGTTTTGGATGATAGTAGATTGTAGAAATAGATTTCACCGGATAGCGACCTATTCTTACAAGATGTACATGATGTACATGTGAATCAATAAAAATGGATAAATGTATTAACTTAACTCGAAGAATAGTTAATTTATATATAGTTATATAATAGTTATATAATAAATATATAATAGATATAATAGATGTCTTTGTTTTTTTTTATTATTGTCAATCTTGTGATAATAACGGATTGTTTCATTGTTATGTTTCTGTAGAATTCGATAATCAAATAACAACTATGCTGATAAATTTTTGTAAAACATCAAATCAAATATTCAAAGCTTAATTTGGTTCTTCATTTCAATTGATTTTTATAATGTATATATTACGTAATCAATATAAATAATTTGTCGTTTACATCATCCTCAAAAACTATTGTTTTATGCTTTAAAAAAATTAAATAACCCAAGCATGTTAATAACGATAATGTATATAATAAATGTT